ATTCTCACTCACTACCTGTTGAGGTATCCTTACTCCTGGTTCATTCTCACTCACTATCTATTGAGGTATACTCCTGGTTATTCTCACTCACTACCTGTTGAGGTATCTTTACTTCTGGTTATTCTCACTCACTACCTGTTGAGGTATCCTTACTTCTGGTTCATTCTCACTCACTACTTTTTGAGGTATACTTATTCCTGGTTCATTCTCACTCACTATCTGTTGAGGTATACTTACTCCTGGTTCATTCTCACTCACTACCTGCCAAAGTATACTTACTTCTGGTTCATTCTTGGCTTGTGATACAGACTTTTGCGGTTTTACTGCAAAAATCTTTGCAGCCTGTAATTCTGTTACCAGGTAATCTATGGAATTAAAAATACAGAAATTCATTATTGATACCGGCATAAAACACAATCTCAAACACATACATTTGCAATGTTTTTTGTACTGTTTGAAAAAAAAGACAAATGTGATAGCTGGTGCAAAAGAATGCTGTTTATTTTTTCTTTGTATAATTACAATCTGTGATCATTCCTAAAGTCGTATTGGGGTCTTGGGAATATTATATGAAATATTTAGTGGTCTGAATTATCATAAATTGCAGGGAATATGTAATTGATGTTCAACTATCACTGATTTTCTGAATGAGTCTGACCGGTTCTATTCAGCCAATACATATTAAAGTGCCATTTTGCATTGTTCAATCAAATTAATCAGTATAGTTGTAACACAAACAAAATAGATATGCCAACAGTGAAGACGCAAAACAAAGACTTTAATATATTGCATAGACTGACCAATGCTTTAGGCACAGAATTTCAAAGGAATGGACACATAGAATCAAGAGCTAGTACTGTGAATGTGTACAAACTGTTACAGGATCAGTGATAGTCTGCCAAAATTATAGATTTTGTCAGTACTGAGGTCACTAACTGAAGACAACCATGGAAAACAGTATGTATTCATAAATCTTTAGATTGTCCTTTATTAAGATTTGTTTAGTAAACTAGTGCACAGATAGAATCACCAAGCTCACAAAATTGAGTGATTTGGCTGTGCATTTCAATTTCATTTGCTTATGCTTTTTAGTAATGTTCAGGCAAATCCAGGTGAATCATGAAATATTTCCTACAATTTGGTCATATTTAGACTAAATATTTCACACAACCCCAACATTCCAAGAGCTTTTCTTGAAATGATCAAAATAAATTGTTTGGTTCTTGTCCATCTTGTCCACCCATCATGCTAAACATCAACAGGGAGAAGTCCCACTATTCACAAGGTTTTAAGTAAACAGGTTTATAAGTAGTAATTGGTGTTGATGGCCAGTCGTAATGAATACTTACTAATTAAATTGCATCTATTTTCATGATTTCCTAATCTATTAATCATTTCTCCTGTTGTTAACTCAGGATATGGACAACCTAATTCCCGGAGAAATGAACTCACTTCAAGTTCAAAAGTTTCAGCCTCATCAGCAGCTACAAAAAAGAGAGAAAAATATGAATGTGAAAACAAGCCATTGAGAATATCACAGCCCCCTCTGTTCTTTATTATATGAGAAACGCTCCTTTTTGTAGAACTGCATGTATCAGTTCTATGATGTGAACTAAATATTTTGTCAAACAAAATAGCTGCCAACCATTTTGGGATTACATTGTGACACAAAACTACATTTGTTGATGTGCTAAAACAGAAAAACAACAAGACATGAATGTCACAGTCCCTGTCATTTAATTATAAAATACTCGTGTTAAAATAATACATGGAACATCTGCAAACAGGTGAATTAATATGTACTCTATGTGAGTACAACTCATCATAAAGTGATTTCCCTTAATCTAGTATTGTACTGAAAACAGAAAACTTCCATTGACCCATGTCCAAAATCTCAGCGTAAGTGCAACCTAACTATGTCTTGTATATGTATATATGCTCAAGAAACTCAAGGTATATCTTGATGTACCTTTAATAACAACTTGACTTTTTTGTTAATTCAGGTCTTTGTATATTACCAGAACTTGGGTTTGTTTCAGTATACCCACTATAATTTCCCTCAAAATGTAGCCCTAACACCCCTCTACAGTTTCCACAGAGATTGGTATTGGTATGACCCATCTGCACTGATTGTATCACAATCTAAGCTAATTATTTATTTTGAGCATGCTCAGTTGTTTTCTCAGTGGTGTTGGGAGAGGTAATTTTGGATCATGAAAAATCATGAAAAAGACCCACTTAGGATTTTCAGATCTGGAAAAAAAAATTATGTGCATACTCGGCAGAGACTTATTCATCAACCTGCCAAGTTTCATTGATATCTGCTACAGAATTTCTGAGAAAATGTTAGAGATGTCACAGACAGAAACCGGAAATAAGAAACTAAACTCCTGAAAAGAATTTGTCTGAGATACAGCCACAAACAAACACAAAGACTAAACCATGAGACTTATTTCAAACTTCATCCAAATGGGGACTAAATAATGTATGTGCCTGATTATGCCAACGGGTGTTATCATTATTCCAAGTTCGAATAGAATTGGCTAGCAAACCTTGGAGATAATTTTCTCCATGTATAAAATGGAGCACATGTAATTCACCATGTATCAAAATTGGTCCATGAACTTCTGAGAAAATATGACAGACGAACAGAACCTAAATGCAATTCACAAGTCCCCACCCATAGTTATTCTTCAGTATACATTTCTTACTCCACGAGGGATTTTGTTATGATGGCTATCCAGATGTAAACATCTGAAGAATACATTCATCGTCATGTGATATGTATGCCAATGCAGTGTTTTGTGTTTATGCAAAAATACCCTTTCACAGACAGCAACAAGAAAAAGCAGTGTGCACGTTTATTTCCTATTTTTGTCAGATTTTTGTGGTAAAAGTTGTTAATTGCTGTTTCAATTGTAAATACCACACTTATGGTCACATCTTATAAATGTCACTGAACTGTTGACCTTGTGACATTTACACTGACCATCAGTGAAGCTGTATTTATTTACACAACTGCGTGTGTTTTACATAATTGATACAGTAGGTCAGTATCCATGATCTGTATATATACATCTTAATTAAATGTCATCTTTATCATCAAATTAACTCAGTTAAAATGTGTGGTCAAAAAATTAATTCATGGAAAAAATTCTTACATGATGTAGCATTGACAGACCCTTCAAATCCACAATACTGCTTCAATGCAGATGTTATCCATGCTATCAAGCCTGTAAATTCTGGTGAGCTAGGACCTCCTGCTAGAGCTTTGGATAATTCCCCTTCTTGTACAACTGTTCCTGAATATCTACAGACAAAGGCATTCACTGAATTAATTAATTAAATCATGATATACATTGTTGTGCAATTGTCATCAGAAAAGCAGGCAGCTACAATGTTGTGTCAAGAACAATTTCTATTTTCTAATATTCTTCTATGCAGTTTATTAAAAAAAATCGTGGAATTTAAGTTCTGTTATAATAAGACAAATATTATAAACAATAACTTGTTCTCTTTGAATTGACAATCAGAATATTCTTTTGAAAATATATTCAACAAAATATATGGCCTCATTAATGTAATACACAGATATGAGGATACATTTGTATACCGGTAGCTTTAACTAGTACAAACATTTTCACATTTTACAGACCAGTGAGGAGACAAGTTCTACGTTTCCACTAATGCCTACTACTGCCTGGCGCCGTGACACTAATTTAAGGAGGTTATTGGTGCATACGGGTGAAACGGGAGACCCTGAGAAATATGGTTCTGTCCCGTGTAATCGTCCTAGGTGTAATACTTGTCCTTTTATTACAGACACTAATCGTATATTTGGTCCCAAGGGAGATGTTGAGGTCAAATATCCGTTCAGTTGTATCACTATGAATGTTGTATATTGCATTTCATGTATTAGAT